TTTTTTTTTTTTTCTCTATTCTTTAGTCCCCTTCTCTGCGTGGCATTGTTAGATGATTTGATGCTAACTGAATTGTTTCATAGCGGTGTTCCCTGGGCTCGTTGAAAGCATCGATGCGAGGGATTGGAGTAACGCCGAGAGATGGGTAGATATCATTGAGGCTTGCATTAAAAATGCGGCGAGGAAGTTGTGACTTGATGATTGGAAAGAGTAGGTACCTCTAGGTAAGGTGATGGGTACCTAAGTTCAAACCAAACCGCTTTGGGGTCTCGGTGTATATATGGTCTCAAATTGTCGACGTTGCCATTCAGCGAACATTGAGCGAGACATGATGTTCACACAGGTTATTGCAAACGACAACCACATATCTTGAATGAAGGACTATATCCTCTCCTCGACTGTACCAAAATCATGTGGATGAATATTTCTTCGCGTTAGCCTCAAAACTCGGTCCTCAACAATGAGTCAATCCCATCCCGCGAACACATTCTCTGTCGTTCTGCGGAGCCGTATGTAACCAAACCGAATACCACCCATCAACCGCTTATTCCACTCTCTACACATACACACGCACCGTTCCGTACCCGCTCTTCTTCCTGGGTTTCCTACCTCCTCTTCTTCGCAAAATCAACAACCGTCATCCCCTACCTATCCTCGCCCACCAGCTATCTATTATCTACCCATCGGACTTCTAGCTACCTACCTACTCACGGCAACTGATAGATCCCCGCCCGCACCACCCCGGTTGGTCCGTAATGCGTCGGCACAGGTGGCGTCGTCGGAACAGGCGACACCGCCCACGATGGCTGTTGAAACTGCGTATAATTCATCGTTCCTCCGGTAGTTTGCGGTGATACCGGTGAGTGGTAGTAAACCGATGGGTGTCCTTGAGCCTGACCTTGTGGTTGTTGTTGATATGCTTGGTATTGCCTTTGATGGTGCGGTTGCTGTTGTTGTTGCTGTTGGAGGTATGGTTGCTGTTGCTGTTGCTGTTGCTGCTGCTGACTGAATACCGGGGTGTAAGCCGGCGCTGGGGCTGACGGCTGCTGGTTGTGGTTGGATGGAACAGAGATGGGCGTCGAGTCGATTTCCTGGTGATGATGATAGGGAAGTTTCTCGTTGGGGGTTGTGACGATGGCTGCGGGGGCAAGAACGGCATTCGGGGAACAGAGGATGGTGTTGCTGTTGTCGCTGCCGCTGTTGCTGTTACTGGAAGGAGAGGATTGGACGGGTTTGCTGTGTAGTCCGGCGGCGCGGTGGCGGTGGAGGAAAACGGAGTGGATGATGAGGGATACGAGGTGGAGGATGCTGTATTTGGTCTATCTGTTAGCAAGGAGAGTTTGTGAAGGGGTGATGGTGTAATTTGTCAGGAATGGGAAAGGAAGAATAACAGAGGGGAAAACGGGGATATCGAGAAGAAGAAGAAGAAAAAAAAAACGAAACTCACAACTCAATCCCCCCCAACGCAGCAGCAGCAATAACACAAATTGGCGCCACCAACGTTGCCACGACCGCGGATTCATCATATCCACCATCATTATCATAGATGTAATCTAACCCACTGTCACCATATCTCCCATCATCATCACCACCACTCGACCTCGCCTTACTCCCCACCGCCCCCCCTTTCAGAGCAGCCAAAATCCCATAGGTGTAGAAGTCATATGAGTCTTCATCGGGGGTAAAATCGTCATAATAAGGATCAACAGTTGGAATCGATTCCGAACTAGACGTCCAAAGCGTGAAGAACCAAATGATCTCCGAAGCCAGCAGCGCAAAGGCGGCGAGCCATAGAACCAAAACCAAGATATCGACGGCGAGGACGGCCCAGTAGTTGTAGGCTTTAGGGGTGGAGAAGCGCGTGATGAGATGGTAGGTTGATGATATGAGAGTCATTACGGCCTGTTGCTCACAACCAGGAGAGGGAGGGAAGAAGGGTGGGTTAGTGGTGAGTCTATATAAGGTTGGAAAGGGAAAGGGAGTTTTGAATGGTGGGGGGTATGGTGATGGATGGATAGGTAAGTTGAGACCGACGGAGGAGGAAAAAAAACATACAACTGCTAGGATCAAGACGTCTCCGTCAAAGGCAAAGATATGTACTCCGAAGGCGGAGAGACCGGCGATGAGAATGGCGATGATAAGTTGGATGATGCGGATGGTGATGAAACCTTTGGGGTAGAGGGGGATGTGCTCCCGTCCGGGAGCACGGTCGGAAGAGTATTTGGAGTATGCCATCGTATCTTAGTTGGGTGGGCTTTCGGGATGACTTGTTGGCCTTGTTGTGTTGGCGATTGCTAACCCGAGACTAAAGAAAAGATTGCACAGAATGTATGATGCTTGCCGATATCTCACGATGAGGACGGAGGTCTGGAGGATGCTCAACAGGCTACAGAACTATTGTCCCGATACCCCCAAAGGAAAGGAAAAAGGGAGAAAAACACATCCGAAACCCATAGACGGAGAAAGACCTGAACCTGGAGACAAGGTAATCACCCCTTTTCAACCACCGCCCAAGCTTCTCCTCCACCTACCTGACTCTACTCTACTCAGCTCGTCGATATCTCCTCCTATTGTATGCAGAATGTTATTGTACATGTCGTCCGCTCTGCAATATATGTGGCGTTCACACATTCAGGCACACCCATGCCAGGACAAGAAGATGAACCAAAGTCTGCCTTACGAAACAAAGTAGTACACCTAAAAGAGGACAGGAAGAGCTTGAGAAAATACATTTCGTGTACACCAACAGCTAGACAGACAGCCTGTTGATTCGCTGCCCAAAAACTGGATGGATGTGCCAGTCCCGTCACGTCCCGATCAAGCATTGCAGTGGTACGGCTGAAGATGCAGATCCAGCCTCTAAGGATCCCAAGATGTCCAGCTGCTAGGTGGCTTAACCGGCGAACCATTATGAGCGAGAAAAAGAAGAAAAGCCGGCGGGTAGCTGATAAAAGTGTTCAGGGGACCAGGGGTACAGATCAGGTATATATATCGCGAAATAATACATTCTTTGTATGCCAAGCGGGTCCATGAGTGAGCAAGTGATCTGTCGAGTAGAGTTGTTCTGTATATCTGAAGATACTTCGTGTCATCCTTGTCTGTTAACTTTCTCGTTCGCTGCTAGTTTCAGCTTGGGAGCATACCTCTGCACAGCATACCTAAGTACCTTCCACGTCCCGTACCTACTCCCGGTACCATACTCACTTGAGTGACTCGTTTCTGTAGGTCTCGTGTAACAGTGGCTGTGGAAGCGAAACTCCCGTTATGCGCTTCACCAAACCGCCCACGACCCACAACTATGTATGTTTAAAGGCCAATTTCCGCCTTTAGCATCCGCTCACTATTTATACATGATGGGGGACCCTTTAAGTTCCTAAACGCCACAAGAGACACGCAGACGACGTCCTGGTCCTAACCACGAGCATGAGCCTGAGCCCACCCCCCTTCTCTTCTCATCCACTGCACCCAGATATCTGCGTTGCCAATCACGACGCAATTCGTCGAGTGGCTCCTTGTCCAAACTGGCGGTCGAAGAATATACATGAGGAAGCGAGAGGTAGGGACGGCCGAGAAGTTGCCAGCAGCGACTGGTTAGCAGATTCCTGACTTCCCACCATTCCAGGCCATCGCAACGCCCACCTCAAAAGAGCCCAACCAAGCCCAAATAATCCTCTGCCACCCTCCACCTACTCGACAATCTACTCAAACACCTCCCCACATCTTCTGCCGCCTGCAACACTCCCACATTCCCTCCTGTACTTCCTCCTCCTTCCCCAAGGGATCCGTTCTCCCCTAATCCAATTCCACCATCATCACCCCCCTCCTTCCATAACCACCTCAACGTCGCCATCCCATTATACATCCCGTCTAGACATAGCGGACTAACCTTCGCCAAACCCTGCGGCAACATGACCGCATCCAACAACTCCATGCACATCTCGCGGATGACACCACTCGAAAGCGAGCGCAGGCCTGCTACGGCCCGCACCTGCAAGGCCTGTTGGATAGCAGTTTTTGGTTGGAAGTTGTCGAAACCCTGGGCACCGGTCCCACAAAGAAGGTTCTCGGGACAGCAGTGGACGTCGTAGAGGAGGAACAGGGCGGAGTGGGTTAGACTTAAAGGGGGCAGGGAGAGGGGGTCTAAAGGTGGGGGTTGGGGAGATAAGGAAGAAGAGAAATCGAAAGGAGAGGGAGGGTGGTGGTGGTATGGGGGGTTGAGTGGGATGGAGCTGGGGGTTAGAAAGTGCCAGCTCGGCGGGGGTGGGGAGGTTGATGATGAGGTTGATGAAGTTGGTTCTGTAGAATTTTGGTTGCGTAGTACGGCGAGGCTGGGGAGGAGTTCTTGTTGGATGAGGGTGCTGAAGGAGGTGAGGGTGTTGATGAGGTCGTCAACTTCGTTAATGTCGAAAGGATCGATGTCGCCTCCTAGTTGATGGTTGCGTAGGGTGGTCCGCACGTGGGTTATGGTTCTGCTGACGAGCATGGATGATTGGACTAGACGGGCGAAACGACCTTGTGGCTGCGCGAGAGGGGTGGTGATTCCTGCGCTGAGGGCACGGCCTGGATCTCCGCTGTCCTGCGACGGAAGGAGTTAGTTAGGTATTGGACTAGAAAAGAAAAAGGAGGAAAACTTACCCAAGCATCATCATCCGTGGGCAAAAGGTAGTGCTTTTCCGGCTCCGGCAACACAAACCGCTTCTTGTTTCCCAGGCAGATCACCCTATCCAGGATGTAAATAGCCCACCAGGCCCTTCTCCTTTCCTCAGACTCGGTCCAAGTCGTCTATCCCTAGATCAGTGGGCAGGTGTTAATCCGCCCAGCACAAAGTCAGCACACGATCCCATCCAAATTTATAGGTTCTCAGAAAGAAAAGAAAAAAAAAAAAGAAAAAAATAAAAAAGGACTAACCACAGCCCCCAAAACCGCCCAGCTCTCCTTGAACCCCGGCAACCCACACATCTCCGCATACCTCGCACACGCCGCCACGCTCATCCACGCCGCCGGATATATCCCCTGCCCGTACTCATACAACGCAACCAATATCATCCCCTGCAAACACAACAAACTCACACACCCTCCACTCTCCAACAAGGCCAGCAGCCTTTTGGCTGCCATGTACACCGGGTTATCCGCACTGTCCATCCCCTCGACCGGCAGCGTGACGATGAGCTTCATGCCCAAAAACAACATGGCCAAGTCCGGCCCGGCTTCCCAGAGGGTATGCCCCAGCGTCATGCGCTTCTTGGAGATGAAGGGGAACCACCGGTGCACCGTGTCGAAGTACTCGGCGGCGCAGTCTTGGACCGTCTTGCCGCTGCTGAGGATGTCGTAGACGTCGCGCGGGACGGCGACGGGTGGAGCCGGGACGGAGAGTTGGGCCCATTTGAAAATGTCGACGTCGAGGAGGAGGGCGGAGGGGAAGCGGCTGGAGGCGGGGAGCCAAAGGGGGCCGCGGGAGTTGATGACTGGTGGTGCTGGATGGGTGGTGGCGGCATTGTCACGGCTATTGGTGCTGGGGGATGATGAGCTCGTGCTGGTGGTGGTTTCCTTGCCGACAGCTAAGGCGAGCCGGTTTTCGAGCTCGGCGAGACGGGCTTGTAGTGCGGCTACATCAGTTGCGGTGGGTGCGGATGATGAGTCGCTGTAGTCGCATTGACGGTTCATCCTGGCACAAAGGCCACATGATGGGACTGATTTGTCGCATTTCCTCCTTTGAATGAAGTCAGTAAATGAACTGTGGCTATGTGAGTGGTCTCATGTAGGGAAAAGGCTTCAAAATTGAGAGGTGATGGATGGTAGGTATGGATGGCGATGTTTTCGAAATCGAGCTTGTGTGATGGTGGATGAGAGGGCAAGTATCATTCATACTTTTGTTTACGACAATTGATGCACGCTTGGCTGGCTTTGGGCACTTGTAAGCTCACCGGGCCGTCTTCGCGCGGCTGTAAACTCAGAACCATGATGGACTCGAGCAAGTCCTTGGAATACAATAAGAAAGCTGTAATCAGTAATTGTAAAAGTGAATGTATGAGAGTTGCATCTTGAAGCAAGTGGTTGACAAGACATGGAAGCCTCTCATAAAGGACTGCTAAAGCATGTCTGGCTTCAGTTGTGTATGAGATGTCTACTAGCGAGTCATTCAGAAATGACATGCTGACTAAGAACTCTATGCAAAGGTTCCTGTCAGCCCTATCGTCGATGACGACAATCAGTGCTGCCTCTGTTAGTTGATCATCCCAATAAAGCCAGTGCTATTCGCTTGGGGAGCGGGTACAAGGTGATCAAATTTAGGCATCGATTTGGGAGTCCAAAGCCTGCACGAGATACGAGAACAAGCGGTGAAGTACTAAACCCTCACACGCCTCGTTCTAAACGAGGTACAATATACTGACTGATAGTATGCAGTTAACAGGCCGGTCATCTACTTTAACATAGGATACCTCTACGGACAGCAGGAGTAAGTAATGCCCCGAGGTATCTCCACTACTTTCTAGATGAGCGTAAAGACCATTTTTCCTCCAGACTGATGATGTTCATCAATACACATACACTTTTGTTAGAACCCAATGACCATGAACGGCGACAATTCCACTCGTTGCAATTTTGGAGGCATCATGTTAGAGCTATAGCGCAAACCCGCGACAATGTCGTAACCGTTACTGAACCAAGTGTTTCGTAAAATCTTGCGTTCTCATCAGGACAAGCATCTGTCTAAGCAATCAGTCAGCGCAATTCTTGCTAGAGTCCAAACATGAATAGTGGCAATGACTGATGCTTGAGCTTGAGAGAGAAGATTATAACTCGACATATTCCAGCTATCAAGACACTGCAGACCTTTTTAAAGGACCGCAGCATCTCTGCCCGGACTTCCGACTAAGGATGACGATACGATATGGTTTTTCATCATGTAGAAAGCATGCTAATGGGGGTAACTATGACAGAGGAGGAACTTACAATATCATCGACCAAGTCTCACGTGTGAGCTCGCAGGGGCACCCGACTGCCCTGGTGGCCTGTCGTAGACTGCGTTGGGTGAGTTACCCCGCCTGCGCATGCTATATCAAGACAGTGCTGGAGCCATTTCTTCAATCATCATACGAAATCCGACGTCTCTGCATCGATCTCTCGTCGGAATGCTGGCCATGTTCTTCCTCTCCGTAGTCCAAAGAAGCAAGTCCCTTGTTGACAACGTCCCACGTGCGCTTGCGCAAATCGATCTGCTCACCTCCATCAAGTCTGTTGTGGTTATTTTTCTTGCCTCCGCGACGCTTGTTCTTGTTCCTGTTATTACTTTCCTTCTTTTTCTTCTGCTGCTGCTGATGCTGAGAAGATCCCACCCCCGCTTCCTTTGGAGAAGAATCGATCTCGCCCTCAGAGAGCTGCTCCCCTATGGCACCCTCAATAACAACGACGCCGTCCGCCGCGGGATCCATGACCTTCTTGATCTTGGCAGACTCCCTCACACGACGCATGGCTTCGAGTTCCGAGTGCCGGAAGATGGCAATTTGCTCATCTGTCAGAGTTCGCTTGACGCCGTCGGGGTAATAACCCAGGCCGTCATCATCCTCATCGTAGTAATCTTCTTCGTATTCTTCATGGTAATGCTCCTCTTCGGCATGGCCCCCTTCTATTTCATCGGCTGTGGCGCTGGCAGAAGCGACAACCGAGTCGTTTGGACGAAGGAAATGAGACTCAAAGTGGCCTGTGGACAGGTTGGAGAAGTGGGCTTCATGGAAAGCAAACATATCAGCCTGCGAGATAGATGATGTAACACGTTAAAGTCTGATCATCGCCGGCCACAGGAATCATGGAACAAAAAGAAACATACCTCGCTGATTTGGGGCACCTTGAAGGGCAAAAGCGCTGCCATTATTACAGGCGCAGGCCAAACGGCCTGTTTAGCTGCTTTGCCTTGGTGGTGCTTGTTCGGTGGGAATCAGAGCGAACGACGGGGGGACGGGGAATGGGGAATGGAAATCAATTGGAAGCTCAAGCCAAGAAATGATGGAGCTCTGCACAGTAAACTTGCCGGCCGGCAATTGCAGAAACGCCGTCACGTCTCCACGTGCACCTTCCAGAATGACCAGCAGGCTGTCAGCCACGTCGGTATCAGCCACACCGGCATCACCGCCACGACGGATGCCATCGCAGTCTTTGTGTTTACTTGGATGTCGACTGCAACTGAAACTGAGCATCGTTTCAGAAAAGCAAGAGTTTGACATAATCTGATCCTGTCGCTTTGACAAGCTCATGTCCGAATTCTTGTTTTCAGTTTTCGTTTTGTTGCCTTTTATTATCCTCTATCTATACGCAGCAGGATGTGCGCCGCGTGTGCTCGTCAAGCACGAGTATCGTAGACCAAGCCAATCCCACACTGGCAAACTCAAGTGACGCCGCGCTATTCTAGCTAAATAAGACGGTAATATTATAACACGCAAGATGCATTAAAGTCCCGAGTCGCTTAGAACTTGTATACCTGATCGGGAGAGTAGCCGAGCTCCTTGAGGATACCGGTCAGCTCGCCCTGGTCCCTGGGGCTCTTCTTGTTGCCGGAGATGGAGTTCATCATGCCGGGTGGGCCGCAGACGAAGATCTTGATATCCTCGTTCTTGGGCTCAGGAAGGACGGTCTTGAGGAGGTCCTTGTTGATGTAGCCCTTGTTACCAGCCCACTCCTTGGGAGGGTTGTCGAGGACGTAGAAAGCGCGGAAGCGCTGGGGGTAGTGGTTCTCAATGGTGGCGAGCTCGTGCTTGAGGAGAACGTCCTCCTCGCTGATGTTGCCAAAGACGAGAGTAACCTTGGTCTTGTCATCGGGGTTGTTGAAGATGGCGCGGATGAGCTGGTACATGGGAGTGATACCGGTGCCGCCAGCAACGAGGGCGATGTGCTTGTGCTTGTTAGCCTCCCAGGGGTACTTGGGAAGAGGGCCCTTGATGTCGAGGCGCTGGCCGGGAGCCATGTCATGGAGGTAGGTGCTCATGGGACCACCCTCGTACTTCTTGACCAAGAGGTCAATGTAACCCTGGGCACCTGTTGCTCGGACGTTAGTCAACGTACTATCGTGGAAAACCAATGAGTCAATACGAAAATACTTACTCTCGTCGCTGATGGGAGTGTAAGGCCTGAGGACAGCCTTCTCAGCGTCGAAAGGCTTGAACTTGGTCAGGATGGCGCTGGCAACGTGGAGGCCAGATACCATGTCGTCCTCAGGGAGTCTGAAGCGCAGGCGCTTGGTGTTGTGGTTGACCAGCTCAACCTCCTCGAGCTTGAGGCTGAGCCAGCCCTGGTCGCCGCCGACGAAGGCCTTCTTGATCTCGCCGGGGGTGATCTTCTCGGTTACCTGCTTAACGCTGGCCTCAGCCTTCTTGGCGGCACCAGCGCCGGAGAAAAAGTAGGCGCCGGCACCTGCAAGACCAACAGCGGCAGCACCGAGGAGGATTGTGCTGCTGCTGCCACCTTTGGAAGGCTCGGTCGCATAGGAGCGGCGGGTCTGGAAAGACTGTGAAAGGAAAGGAGTTAGTTCGATGACTTCTAGAACGGCTGCTGGTTGTGCTTAGAGTCAATGTGTCAAGTGATGCGCGAAGCTGTCGCGCATGGTGCGCTGCGCGTGCGTCTGCCCCAATTCTGCTCAAGGCGCATTCATGATGCCGTATATGCGTCCGACGACCACCAGAACTTGCCCATAACGGCAGGATTGTGTACCTCGATGCAGCAACATTTCTCAGAGCAACAGTAAATCCGAACGAAGGAATGGGGTGGCTTACCCTCTTGATGGGGGCGGCAGCCCGGAAGGCGGATCTGGTGCTAGCAACGAACAGACTCATTTTGACATGCAGTGTCTGGAAAGCAAGAATGGAATTGGATGAAGGAGGGGAAGATCGGACGAGGTTCAGGTACGCCCAGTGCAGTCAGTGCAATGCATAGAGGCACTGACTCCTCCCTCCTTTGGGGTCCCCGTACCTTTTTCAATCGCGGGTTCGGAAGCGTGGGGAGCTTGATTCGGGTGGGTGGGGCTTACGTCATGCAGCGATCTCCAGGCGTGATCGAAAATCTCATGTTAAAAGCCGTCATCGGATTCTTTCCCGCCGGCGAGAGAAACGGGTTTGTCAGCTTCAACCAACTCCGCAACCGTTACTATTATGAATCCGCATCTTGACACTTTGTATATATCCAGGGTGGGTTTCTCAGTATACTGCATAGTTACCTTCCCAGGCTGCCAACAAAAGGATGCGGAGATATCGGTGCAGTTCGGGTGGACTCGATTAACATGCTAAGGTCCTAGTCTAGTCTTTATGTACTGATTCTTGATTTGACGCCTGCTCCTAGCACCTTGGCTCACTCATCAATTTCTGAGTCCAAAGGCAGTGGCTAGGGAATATGACGAATGACTTTTGAGCGTTGTGCATTACGTATAGCTTCCGTAGCACCGTATTAATTCCTTTTTGTTCGACCAGACCACGCTGTCAGTCTCTGCAATCTGTACACAGAACAACTGCTAAGACAATAAGTGATATCCAGGCTTACTTTAGCTCCTCGTACTCCTGCCTCTCCCCTTCTAGCTCCTCCTCGGCCCTTGATTATCTCGATTGCTCTGCTACCCAATTCAGATGGTGACGGAAAATAACAGGAAGAAGAAGAACGCAAACTCCCAACGAAAGCGCAAAGAGAGCGAGAACAGGAACGATGGATGAGTATGCAAGAAAGTGGACGCCATTAAGTCGCAATGTTCCGTTCTACATCGCTCCCTGATAAAGTATGCTCATGTCAGTAGCCTGAGTCTCCCTATCGTCCATTACATGGGGATTATTCGATCATTATCACCGCTCCCTCTCCAACCTTATACTCCCTTCGCTTTAAATGACTGAGCCCGCTTTCTGCCTCAGTCTTCAGCAGGACATTGCGTCGTGTCGCATATAGCAATCATCATCACCACCACCCCTTTCACATTCCACCTTCATCACCTGTCCGCTTCCGCTGCCGCTTCCCCTGTCTTTTGTGGCTTGGTATCCATCGCGACCTCCGGCTCAGCCTCTTCGCTGATACTCTGGTTTTCTATTGCACCTTCTTTCGCTGTCTTTTCCAGCCTCGCGCCAAGCAAAGTCTGCAACGTCCCTTGCTCACTACCCCTCCTCTCGTTTCTACCGACAGTGTCCTGACTGCCGCGGCGCATCAAACCGGCATCATGAAATAAGTTCGTGGGCGTGTTCGCTTGACTGCCACCCCGTTGTCCATGATAGTGGACGACCTGCGGTGGAGCTTGGCCAGCCTGTGTTCCCAAAAGGTGTTGCGGATAGGGATCGAGGTCCTTGCTTGACGTTGAGAAGGTTGATACGACCGGCTGATGGTACTTGTAATCGGACCCAGAGTGGCTGTGTCCGTACCCATTGGTATTGGAGCTTGAGGTTGGTGTAGAGTGGGTGTTGTTGCTGTTGCTGCTGTTATTATTATTGTTGTTGTTGCTGTTGTTGTTATTGTTGTTGCCATTCACACCAGACCCGCCACCACTGTTGGAGCTTAGGCTTTGTGTGGGAGTGTGGCCAAAAGATCCGCCAGAGGTAGCAGCAGTGTGTTCCGCCTGAGTCGGTGTTCCAGCTTCCACCGGGCTAACAGGGCTTTCGCTAAGCTGGCCGGTGAGGCTGTTCATACCTCCTTCGATATCGCGTAGCAGCCGCACATATTCCTCTGGTACAAGTCCGCTCTCTTGCGTTTTCGGGTCTTCCGCAACCAGCCAGCCCTGTCCGTGTCGATACGACACCCAGATGATTTGACCCTCAACCAAAGGCAACTCGTTCTCGTCTTCCCGCTGGAAGTCGTACAGCGCCACGGCCTTACCGTGCATCTCCTCATCGGGAGAGGTAATTGTAAACTGGTAATCACGCGAATAACGCGATTCGTCCGTCTCGTGATAGCCACCAGGGCTGGAGTCGTCCAAGTCGGATGGGTAATCGTCTTCGTACTGGCGTGGTTGTTGGTCGGCAACTTGGTATGCGCTGTGACGTGCCTGATCGGCCGGATACGTTACGTACTCGCCGCCCGGCCCGTTGGCCTCGCCTCCCTGGTTCACGTAGTAGCGCTCGCTGCCATCGCCACTGGTGCCAACGTAGTAACCCCTCTCCCGGTCGTAGTTGCTCGGGTTTATGACCGAACCACCGCCGCTCCTTCCCGCACCATAGCCACTGCCGCCACTGCCGCCAGCTGACTTGTTCTTCTTGTGTCGCGAACTGACCACAGGGCTCTGAAGATCTTCATCCTCGCTCCACGGAGGACCATCGGCGAACTGCATCGCAGGGAGATCGTTCGCCCTTCCCCAGCCGTCGCTGCTCCATGAGTTCTCCCAGCTATGGCGATCCCAAGATGTCGGAGGGTCAGATAGGCGCCGTTGCTCGCTGGCTGGGGTAGTCATGCCTGAGGGTGGCCGAGAAGGTTCCGGTGGGGGTCCATAGTGCATAGGATGACCCACGGGGTAGGCGAAGTCTCGCACCAGCGTGTACGGCAGACTGGAAGGATAGATGGGGAACAGTTGAGAGGGCGGCCGGGAGCGTGAGGGAATCGAGCTCACAGTCGAGTACTGCGACAGGCGGTTCTTGGACGCGTGCGACATTGGCCGCGGTAGCGCGCTCCTGCGAGCGGGCGGCGAGGTCATGAGCGGAGGAAGTGGGGGATGAGCGGCTGAGGTCGAGGCCGAGGTGTCGATGGCGGGCGGAGAGGTCGCTGGAGACGAGGCTGGCGATATGATCGCCGTCATGGTCGAGGCAAAGGAAAAAAGATAGGGGGTTAGCAAAGCCTATAGCCTAGCAGTGCCTGGCGTGCCTGGAATGCGCCGCCCGGACAATCAATTGTTGTTGTGGATCCTTTCCAGGGCGCCGGACCGTCGCTGCCGTGGGAACCAGGGTGTTTTTTTGGCCAGGGTTCGAGTCTGGTTAGAAGACCGAGTACCTCTAGGCAGCGAAGGGAAGGGCTGGCCGGCCTGTGGTGGACGGGCGGAAATGCTTTGCCTTGTGCTGTCGAGGCGGGGAATAAGTGTGGTTTTTGATGTCCGTCCGTCTATCGTAGATTCGTAGGGCTCGGGAGACGGTAAACTTATAGCGCCCAATTGTGTAGATGAGGCATGTAGCTGTGTGGACCACGGACATCGATTTGCAAATGTTTGATGCTTGCAAAGCGGCCACAACTACCAACGGCTTGTTCAACGGTTCGCTTGTCCGTCGTCTGAAGTCTCGGAAATGTAAGGGCTCTGGATTCTGAGTGTTTCGGTTTTAGGCCGGATTCGTTAAGGGATCCCGTGTGAGGGACGCAATGTAGAAAAGATGGTGAAAGTATGCGAAGGGGCACACTGGGGTAGCAAGGTGGGCAATTGTCAGCTTAAAGAGCTTGTATAGACATGGAGAGCCCTTGTGTGGTCGGCAAGCTGAGATGAGCGATTGCGAGCTGTCAATATAGACAGGGTATGGTGGGAACGGAGGGGGATTCGAAGAAAAGAGGAGAAGAAAAAGAAGCAGAATTTCAGGCAGGAGCAGGTAGGTAGTTTTGGGGGGAGGATGCGCCGCATCAAGTTACTACCTCTACTTACGACGGGATACCTCTAGTACAACTTGGACAAAGTTAAGCGCGCTGCCGCAGGATTACTCCAGGTTTAGGCCTGCTCCTCTCATTGGCAAATAGCAACCGCTGGTCACCTGCAATCAGTCAGTCGAACCTCTGAGGACGGGACTCGGTCGCCTTCGACCAACATACCTAACCTCTTTGCTTATCCTGTAGTGTACCTAGACGATGGCTGGCAAATTTTTTGGGTAACGAATCGGGGTTAGGTACGGGGGGCCCAAAAGTCCACTTCAGAGGGCAGCTCTCGTTGACAAAGGCGGGCAACTTGCAGGACACACTGCAGTTTTTTTCTGTATGTCAACCATCGGAGGTTAACACTTGAATCTGCTTTTACGCCCAAAATACGCACCAACACCTGCACATATTGAAACAGGACATTGAAGATTTAAAAGGCATGCGATATACCACGCGGGTAAAACTGCCATTTGCAAATGTACTTTCTACGTGTGCCTCTATTGTTGGTTAACATGGATGTTCCAACGAAGAAAAACTTCGCACGAAACTCTCAACTTCCCGTCCCAACAGGGATGTTTATCACTGCATGTTTGTGTCCACCATTGGATGTTCTCGATGCCTTCGATGTGAGTGATTGGCTCCGTAAATGCGTCCCGAACAGCAACGTGGTACCCATGGAATTTCCCAAGGCACTAGCTATAAGTTGCGCATTCCCTATGTGGGACCTTTGAGAAGAAGTTATTGAAAAAGGTTTCGATCAGAGAAGCGGGCAGCTGGAGCTCAGACAATACAGTGCATCGATACGCATGGTGACCGAGGCTCGAGGCCCGTGAGGTTTGGGCCCTGGGGAAAAAAAAAAGTTACCTGGGGATCGTCTCACTGTGATTCTGCAGTGCATATCCGCGGACCGCTGCAGACTCGAGAGGTGGGGGAAGTTGACGAGAACGGAAAGAAGGGCAACGGGCTGCAAGACGCACGAGCCACCCACCATTTCACTCTGAAACACTGAAACGTTCTAATTTTGGAAAGCGGTGAGATGGGGCACTATGTGCGTATAACCACCACTTGTCCCTCGCAGTCGGTAACCAAACAGATTTGTTCCAAATTCCACATCCCACTTTTCACCGTCCAAAATCTCCGCGCCAGCAGCAACTGGTGAACAGGTTTCAGTTGGACATCAACAACCTTTAACAAGTTATATACGTGTGGTAGCAGGCTACTTCGACTAACTTAATCATCATCTGTCTGCGCTTTGCGCTCAGCTGAACCTTGAAAGGTAATTCCTGCGCTCTTTTCCGCTCTTCCTTCGTCAACAGTCTCTTTTCCTTTATGATGATCTTTTTATTGGAGCTGTCTGTAGCCTGCTATGTCTGGCGTTTGATGACAAACTTTTACATACGCTTTTTTATCTGATATGTACCGAGGACAACCTACACTTTTGCACTTGCCATGTCTGTATCGCAGAAGGGAACGCATTGATAACTAACATTGGCATCTTGCGCTTTCTAGGTCTTTCCAGTCAAGCATGCCACATCTGCTACAGTAACAAGTCACCTGCAACTGCCGGCTATGTCTGCTGTAGATACCACAACTGGTGCTGCGAGCTCATCGAAGCCGGACCAGAATGAGCAGAATGGTCAGAACGGTGGGCGTGAAGACTCTGGCGGCTTCAAGCTAAAGTTTTGCACCGTCTGCGCCAGTAACCAGAATCGGTGAGCAATATTTACGCATCGCATCGTCACGCAACTGGATGACCCCGTCTAACCCTCACCAGCTCCATGGAAGGTCACTTGCGACTCTCTCTTGCAAATTATCCCGTGATTTCGTTTGGTACAGGCTCTCTTGTCCGTCTCCCCGGGCCATCCATTACACAGCCCAATGTCTACAAGTTCAACGAAACATCATACGATAGTATATATCGGGAGTTGGAAGCCAAAGACCCTCGGTTATATCGCGCAAACGGACTGCTAAACATGCTTGGGAGAAACCGCCAAGTCAAGTGGGGCCCTGAGCGATGGCAGGACTGGCAGATTGGAATGCCTAGAACCAAGCACAAGGATGACAAGGGAGCTGATGGCATGGAGGGCGGCGTAGCTGATGTTGTCATCACCTGTGAGGAACGCTGTTGGGATGCTGTGATTGAAGATCTTCTCAACCGTGGCTCGCCACTTAACAGGCCTGTTCACGTCATCAACATCGATATCAAGGATAACCATGAAGAGGCATCCGTTGGAGGGCGAGCCATTGTCGATTTGGCAGACTCACTCAACAAGATTGCTGCCGAGGAGCGGGAGAAGGTTGGCGCTTCTGCCTTTGACTCGGGAAGCGTAGGCGCCAGATCAGGATTCGATGAGCGCGTACCGGACGTCCTGGCCGAGTGGCAGGAGAGATGGCCGAATCTTCCTGCGACATGGACTTTGGCTTGGTTCTAAGCATTGAGGCGTATTGTTTGAGCTCGTGCATCGTAAGGCGTTGGATGTTCTTTTTATTGCCTGGCGGGCGTAATCGCGGTTACGGACAGGAGGGGGGATACATCTTTTTGGGTTCATGATTGATGACCAGACAACACAAACGAACAAGACGTTTTGGCCGTCACAACATAATGCTGATTCGGACTCGTAATCATTATCAACAAAACCGTTGTTATCCGGGATTTACGAACTCTGCTGCCACGATTGGCTTTAACTTGCTATTTTGTGAGGTCGCACCCCTCTTGGTTTTCTCAGAATATGTCGACCTCCATGATTTGGCAGGCCATTTCCTCTTCCACCAGCCAGACCGCCAATTGAGCATCTTGTTTGCTACGCATATGCTTACTTCTATCACAAACTCAATAATATCGCATGCATACATGCTCGGAGATGGGAGCTCATCGGCCCACCTGACGAGTACCCTGCATGGTATCCCAAAAAGCATTATAAGATGATGAGCCGCACGGTTTCATTATAAGCAATCTTGGATGCGAAGAACATATACAAGAATTTTGGAGATCTTCCTTGCTTATTGGAATCTGGGGTACTCAACGGTTGCCAGCATCTAGAAAATATCGAAACATGCACAACCGGCCGTGCCCCCGCAGTGAGCAGGCCTACCTACTTGTGACAATGCAACCAAACGCGAAGGTCAAAAATGAGATAAATAGGGCTGTGGCCATTGGACACACACTTGGAAGACGAGAGGCCATTAAGGTTACTGCTAATGCATGTTGTCACTACATATCATGTTGGGGTGTTGGGCGGGAGTGCCCGAGGCCGAGGTGGCATTTGATGTGATGCCGGTATGCCTACATAGTACATACCCATGTGGATAAATCTCAATATCTATATCGTCGGTCTCAAGTAAGAATTGCATTTGATTTCGGTAGACGATTGCCGGTCTTGGGCTGTTTCACAACGAGACGGTTTAGTAAAATGATGAACCACTGCAACAGCGCAGAGTTGATCACCGTCAACTAACATGAGAGACCTGCCATAGTAGAGATGCGAAGGGGAGTTGGCGATCCCGTCAGAGATGAAGACGCATTCTGAGGCCGGGATACCATGTGAGAAAGGGGCTCGAGAGGGGGTTCCATGTCTGGGTGTTTTACAAGACTGTTTAAATTGCTCCCATGGGGAAAAGGTAACAACAGCTGCTCGGTCGCCTACAAAGTGCCAGGCCGAGATTGACATCAGGCTTTTTGTTCCCACTTCCCATTGTACGTCGACGGCCGGTACTAGGGCCCAAGAAGCCCGGCCAACGAGACGCGAAAATGAGGGGATCCGAGACCGACGAGGAATGGATCTGGGTCCAGTTCCCTTTCCATTTAGACCATGGTGGGTGGCTCGGTTCCTTTGTCCCGGTCCCGGTCCGGGTCCTTTCGGAATCCCCTCTAATAGCTGCGTATATATGTGGTTGTTATGGTTTTGGTAGGGCAGTGCTTCTTTGTGCGGCCACTTATATAATCTCAAATCTCAGTGTTGTACATGAAGAAGTCTAACGACAGTACGTGGTAATGTGGACAATGGTGGAGTGTTGACCGTCCATCGTGTTTATTGCCGTTAGACACTAATGAGCCAACTCCTATCGTCCCGTAACAACATGAACGTCTCGAGATGTGCAAGATACCACTCACTAGGTACCTATCGTTGGTGTTTGACCTTGGTTCTGGAAATGACTCTCCGCGCTCTCCCACCCCACACTAGTTGTAATTACGTAGAGGCATGCACTGAGTGGCAGCCCAAGCACCGTGGAAGCTAAGGTAATTACGCCGGCTTCCATTGTCTGTGGGAATCCGTACCTGCCGTAGCGCGCGACTAATAGGAAGGGAACTCACCCCTGACGCCGGCAGTGATGGGTCAAGTATACCAGGGTTGGTTCTGATTGGCTGAACGGCCACACCATTTCCAGTGTGCTCAGAGCCCCCGGGCGCTCTCACTCAAACCATTCACTGTGCCTCCTAGTACTGTTCCTCGGAGAACATCGTCCACTGTACATATTGGGGCCTTGAATGATCAGGGGCTCTGCTGGATTCGGCCCTGGATAAGTCGTGGTGGGCTCTTCGTGGGTTCCTCATTTCCAACTGAATCCATTGCGCGCCCCGGAACACAGTAGAGGAGTCGTTCTCCCAAGAATCGTAGTCACCTCGCTACCCGGCATCGTGAGGAATCGGCCAGCGAAAAGCGAAAAGGGAATGAGCACCGTATGGCGAGCGAGCAACAATCCCGTCCTGGTCTCTCGTTTTCTCCCGTCCTGCGACTGCACCAATTCCGCCATCTACCGTCTGGATCTGGACGCCATCTACTCTACATACCCTACCCGGCGCTACGTCCCTTCGCCTGTCTTAGAGCTGCTCTGATTTGAGGTGAGTGGCACTAACAAGCAAAGACGCCGTCCACTCGCTGTCCACACTTTCGGTACACCCCCCGCCAAGCCGAACGTTAACCTTGAGGGCTACCTCTAGCCTCTAGACATAGGTACTTACCGAGCCTTCACTACCCAAAAGATCGCCACGATCCATCATCCAAAGAAGGGGCATCTGAAAACACCGCTACGAGTCAAGCCGTCGTCCAGTCCATCCTTTCTGAGGCGAAACCTCTCCCATCATTCCAACTCCTGGCTTTCGATCGGCAACTGGAACAGCCACTCTGTTTGGCGACATCGCGCAGGGCATCGCATAAGTGTAGTGTACCACCCCCCCTGTTCATGATCCCGCTCCCTTTGTCCCCCTTCCCTTTCGCGCCTCCAAAAGGGGAATTCAAAGGTTGACCGATATGCGTTTCATGCTCCCACAGTAACACAAAGTCCTGCCACGAGGAACACCCGCGAGACCCTTCTGCTGTCGAGGGCGCACAGCATATGCTCGCCGATTTGTCTCGATACCAGCTCTGCGACAGTCCGCGTCTTTTGGGAGCCTGTACCTCTACTTGCTGAGACACCGCGAATTATCCACGAACCGGCTACCTTCGCCTTTTCTAGGGACACACACGGGTTGACGACAAGACAATTGCATCAAGCCTCCATTGTCGTTTGCGCACCACGCCCATCTTTCCGATTGCGTCCGACTGGTCGATTGGAAGCGGGCGGTGAACGAATACCATGAATGTTCGCAATGCACCATTGTCACCAATCTCTCAAGGCGCCCCAAGCGACTGGAACTATCCACCGAACGACAACAATCTCGGACAATACAACACTCCTCCCGACTCCGCGAACCCTGCCGGCGCTATGAACGGCGGCTTCTCCCCGATGCCTCAGAGCCCGAATGGGGCACCCTCTCCTCCACCGTCCGTTGGCCGATCCAGCACCGGCATGTATGCGAGGAGTGTAAAGAGCCAGAGTCAACAAGGGGAAAACCAGGAGTTGGTTCTGTCCGACCACTACATTTCGCTCAAGCGCTATCTGTCAGCCACCTCACGCGACGGCAATCCGAAACCGCCGCCGAACAAGGCCCGCGACAAGCTGCAACGCCTTACTGAGGTGCAGTTTCTTGAGCTCAGTACCGATGTTTATGATGAATTGAAGCGCCGCGAACAGGTGGCCCGAAGAGGACCTAATGCTCCGCCCGAGACTGCTCCGCCCGATTTTCTTTTGCCTCAGGATAATTTCCATCCCAAACGGAACCAAGCTCGTCAGAAACTGTCGTCCCTAGGTCCTCCTAGGTTTCGCGATCTCGCCACCGATGTCTTCTGCGAGTTGGAGAGGCGGTATCCTAACTTCGCCAATCTGGAGATGCCTCTCAATGCCAGCCCGATTGCGATGCGTGGCCCGCCAAGCCGCTCGGGAACACCAAACAACGGAATGGGCGGCTTCCCTCCCAGAGGTCAAAGTCACAGACGCCCTTCGGAGGCGAGCTCAGTACGAAGTGCACGGAGCGGTCCTCCGATGCCCCCTATGATGAATGGTGGATACGGCGTTCCCCCATCTCCTGGCCTGCCGCCGAATGGCGACTATGGGCGTCCCATGCCAAAACAATTCCAGAGCAACACAATCGTTCCAAACAAGAGTACCATGGTCGAGGAGGACGACGAGGGCAACCTTATGAGCCCAGGTCAGGGTGGTGATATGTATGGCAACGGCAGGAGGTCTATGGGCCAGGCGTTCGAGGTCAGTTCCCCCTTTTCTTTTTTTTTTTTTTTTTCCTTCTTTCTCGCCTTCGGGGATACTATCATGTGCTAACTCAACGTAGGCCGACAGGAAGCTTATTCAGGACTACGAAAATCAGGTCAGAGAGCTGCAGGAAAAGGTCGACAACATGGAGATGGAGATGAGGAAAAAGGACGAGGAGCTGAATAACATGCAGTCCGGGGATGGCAACAAGAAAGATTGGGACGAGACCAGGCAAAGCTTGGAGACGAAACTAGCAGAGGCCCAGGAACTGAACGACTCGCTGCAAAGGGAACTCGACCGCATCAGGGAGGAGCATGAGGACGAGACGAGAAAGCTTCGGGAAGGACTCGAGGATGGTCGACAATCAGGCGGCTCTAGCGATCTGGCGCGAGAGAACGAGGAACTGCGACAATCTTTACAAGAACAGCAGCAAATAACGGACGAGGTCCGTCGCGAGGCCCAGGAGTTTTTGCGGGAGATGAGGACGTTGTCTCAACAAAGCGGGGCTGCTTGGGAGAGACAAACGGAGTTGGAGAGGACGATCGAGAGTTTGGAGAAGGAAGTCAAGGAATGGAGGAGTCGATATGCACGCACCCAGACACAGTTACGCAGCATGCGTGATTCGTCAGAGGGTGTACCACTCGAGCAGAACGCCGGCAAATACGTACGGGAAAAGGGTTTTGTCGAAGACTCTGGGCTTGTGAAGGACCTTCACGTTACCAAGTTCCAGATTGCGATAGACGAGCTCCTGCAGCGCGCTCGCAACGATAACCCCGAGCGCGTAATTGACTCTATGAAAGCAGTCGTAGTCAGTGTCCGTCGTATCGCTAAGGATATCGACGAGAATCCACAAAACGACAGCATTCTCCAAGAGAAGGCCAAGCTAAAGGCTCGGGTATCATCGACTGCCAACAACCTGATCACCGCATCCAAGAACTTTGCCAGCTCCGCGGGCATCTCTCCTGTATCTCTGCTTGATGCAGCTGCATCTCACTTGGTTGCAGCAGTCATCGAGCTGCTCCGAGCCGCCAAAATCCGCACCACGCCTGCGGGTGAATTAGAGGAGGAGGATGATGGGACAGTAACTCCTGTCGGCTCAGCCAGCTTCTTTTCTCCGCGCAACGGCCAAAGCCAGACCTCGAGTGTCGCCTCTGCCCATGAGGTGCTAGCGCAACCCCCGGCTTTCCAAGGGCTAGGAGGAGGAGGAGGCAGCAGGATTAGTGTCGACTCGTCTGCCTACAGCGCCAACTCGCCGCGCGAATCCTACGCCGATAGCAAACCCATCGCTCCGGACCCTCGCCGGGTCGAGGACCTCAAGTTCTATCTCCAGGACAAGACCTCGGTCATGGTAGAGACGATCCAGAACCTGGTCCAGCTGATTCGCAGCGACGCCAATATCAACCAACTGAGCGGCGAGATCGCCATCATCACTGACGTAGTCGGCAAGGTAGTCGCCGAGACGGACTCGTGCCTGGGCAGCAGCGCGAGCAACACTGTAGTCGACGTCGTGCGCTGGCTAAGCAAATGCAGCGACCGGCTCAACGAGGCCGGCCAGCACGGCATCGACCTCGACGCCCAGGGTAGCAGCCCCACGAGCCGCGAGTGGCGCATGTGGGCGCAGACGCTGCCGCCCATCGCGTTCGAGCTCGCCAGGGATACCAAGGAACTCGTCCAGCAGGTGGATCGGTTGGCGGCTGCCGGT